AGTTCAATTAAAGATTGCTTTAATATGTGTATATATGGAAGTTATGTGCCGATCAGCAAGATTGATTTTTATTTTTTTTTTTAATCACAAGGCCAATTCGTCTTGAAGGCTGGAGAAGTAATTTTGCAGTCTAAGTTTGTTTTTAGTAGGGTAATCAGACAATTATTTGTTACTGAGTGTGATGTAATTATGTCATTATGTTGATTTGCGCCTTTGTTTTTCAGGAGAATGTGTAAAAAATCATCACAGTGTGAAGGAAGATGCCATCGAAAAGTGTCTTGGGGAATTCCTTAAGAGAACGGCTTATCTTCCAGGAGTACAAGGTAAATCCACTTTTCTTTCATATTTGAGGAGCGAAAAAGGATTTTTATCTAAATGAGAACACCATATCAAATTAGGGGTAGTTAAATGGGCACACCCATCCTAGAAATTTCACCTTTCAATTTAACATACATTTGAAAAACATTTTTAGAAAAGGTTCTGAGCGAAATTGTTGAACAAATACTATTCTCTCAGGATCACCTCCAGACTTTTTAACGTCATCAAATTGGCAGTGTAAATTTCTTTATTTCCAACACAAATCAGTAACATGTGATGTTTTGTGTAAACAAAGTAAAATACTTTGTCTGTGCTTCATTTTTCTGTAACTATGTTGGGCAGAATATAAATTTGTTAAGAAAAAATTGTGCAAAACATAAGAGAAAATCACGAAAAGGCAGTATGAAATACTTTATGTATAAGGAAGGTAGGCATCCCCCCAGAGACAGCACAGACACACACAAAAAGATTGTGTTACAAATGCATGCACATTTTTTTTTTTTATAAATTTGGAATATTGTTTGCTTGCTTTAAATTTCAGAAACCTAAAAGTGACGCTGACAGTGCTCCAGTTGAAGCTGTCTCTGAGGAAAATGTCATCAACGAGGAGGCTTATAATAATGTTGAAGAAGTAGGAGGTTCTGACAATGAGGATTGAATAGCATTTTCCATCCGAGTAATCTAATACTAAGTTGGGCTTTTGCTATATGGTACCCTCCTTTCCCATACGATTCAATATCTATTTTTGTTTGTCAGTGGGAGCTGTTAGGTACGGAAGCCCGTTAGTGTCACCAGTGAATTAAAATTTCAGATCCGTTAACTGGCGGCCGCCAGATCCGCGGCCGCCACTTAATTATCTGTGATACCCAGTTTGCGGTAGGTTACGGTATAACCTTACTTGATGCAGAACAGGCACCAGCTTCGTAAACGTAGGTAAGTTCAAACATGCATTTGTAAGCCCCTTATAATTATTCAAAGTATAGTAG